AACATCCCCCTCTGAAGCCTTGTCTTTCATTACTATTTTATGTATGTTTTCATGGAAGGTATTTCTTGAGAAAATATCACATGAAGATGGATTGAGGTATGGATATAGAAAAATAATGTAAAAAGATGAAAAAAAAAGAAAAAAGAAAAGCCTGGAATGTAATTATCTCCATGAAAGCATTACAAACTCAGGAAAACAGACCAAATTTCCTTGAAACGATATGCCACCATGTTAAGAAGGGCCCTGGTAACCTGACCCATATCTTTTTATGATGCTCCAAAGAAAACATGGAAACATTTACTACATCTTTAAAAATCATAGTCCTCTAACATGGTACTACAAATACTAACATGACATAATCACAGTCATGTGATTATTACTCGATACTGTTTTTTTTCTTCTAAAGTTTACTCAGATATTGAAAAGATTGTGTGGTAGTGAGCAGGAGTAAGCAAAAGAAGGGAATAAACAGCCATCCACAACCAGAGGAAAGAACAGTCTAGTAACACAATTCCTATTCTGAAATATTTTATTGTTTTCTTTACTGACAAAAACTTACAAAAATGACATTATATCATGGATTGTAGACCATAATTCCCATGTGGAAACCATTTCTTAAAAAAGAACAGCAGATTCTCCTCTACTATCATTTTTGGGAAAATAACCATCCGGATATTGCTAATCTTTAACTTATTAACCAAATGCTAAGAAGTCCTTTATTTGCTTTGAACATTTTTGAAGAAACTGTCTCTTGGCCAGACATCCATTCATGAAACCGCACACTTTTTTCCTGCGTTACATTGACACATATTCCAAAAATTGACTTTTCTCTTTGATTCTAGCACCAAGCCAGCACAAAGCCCAGTCTTTAATTAACCTCGCTTCGGATCATTTGGCATTTTTGGAAGCACACAGTTGCTCAGAAACAAGAAGTAAGTAGGAGTTCACAGTAAAGAAGTCAGAGATTCACTAAAGCATGAGTAGTCATTTACTTTCTAAGAATAATTTTGTACGCTGTTTCCCATTAAACTTAAAAAATAAAGAAGACATCAACAGTTTATTCTCGTCCTCTTTCTTTTCACAATTTAATGTGGGTCTACAACGGAACTGAAATTTTGCCTTTTCAGAAAACACTACTCCCTAATTAAAAAGCAGATAGAGTAACAGTAACAATAGGTTATAAGATTATAAGAATAATATATTTAAAAAGTTAACAACTCATATGTATATTGCATTTAGATGAATTGAATGCAATACTAGATTCTTCTTCCCTAGCTAAGTCCTCTTCACCAAAATGGTAGAATCTCAGAATGAGTGAGGTTGGAAGGGACCTTTGGAGATGATCCAGTCCAGCCCCGCTGCTCAAGCAGGGTCTCCTGGAACACATTGTGGATGTGCTCTGAATATCTCCAGAGACAGAGACTGCACAACCTTCCTGGGCAGCCTGTTCCAGTGCTCTATTACCCTCACAGTCAAGTTGTTGTTCCTCAAAATTCAGACAGAACTTCTTGTGTTTCAGTTTGTACATGTTTGCTCTTGTTCTATCTCTGGTTACTGCCGAAATTTGTCTGGCCACATCATCTTGACACTCATCCACCCAAAGCTACTGGGTGGATGCACTGATAAGATCCCCTCCCAGTCTTCTCTAGGCTAAGCAGACCCAGCTCTCTCAGCTTCTCCTCATGTAAGAGATGATCCATCCCTCTAATTATCTTTGTAGCCCTACCCTGGACTCTCTCCAGCAGTTCCTTGTCTCTCTTGTACTGGGGAGCCCGGAACTGGACATATTACTCCAGAGGTGGCTTCATTCTGAGAAGAAGTAAAGCTAAGTAGAGGAGGAGGATGACCTCTATAACTTCTGTTTGTTCTGTAAATTGTCAAATATGAAAATATTTGCAACAAAAGTTAGACCTATAAAAAGAAATATTCAGATCTGCTTTTCTCCTGATTTTCAACTTTACTTATAAACTGCATGAAGTTCATCAGCTAAACTGCTATTTAACAGAAGCCACAGCTAGTATCATTTGCCTTTAATAGCTCTTTTATTTACTTGTTTTCTTAAGAACTTATATTACTGTTCTGGAAGTGGAAGTCCCATTCCACTATAATGTGAGGAAAAATGTGGAAGAAAAATTGCTTACACATTCTGGCTGCAGCTTTGAGCTATTAAAAAAAAAAAAACCTCCAAGTTCCTTTCCATTATTATTTTTTATATATATATTCCCATTTCTTTGTGCCAATAACTAATGGTCTCATCTTCAACTAAGCTCAGGCAAACATTTCACCTACCATTTAGAAAATGTAATGCCAATTTACAAAAAGTCTTATAATAAAATATTATTAGTACACAAATGTACTACTGTGAATTTATAGACCTACACAGCACAAATGCCATCTCTTGGTGTACCCAATTCCTGTGTAAGCTGCTTTTGATTTCATTCAGGCTTGTGTTGCTAGATGACAAGAAATCACAGAATCAGAGAGTGGTTGAGGTTGGAAGGGGCCTCTAGAGATCATCTAGTCCAACCCCCCCTGCTCCAGCAGGGACACCCAGAGCACGGGGCACAGGGCGGCATCTGGGCGGGTTTGGAAGATCTCCAGAGAAGGAGACTCCACAACCTCTCTGGGCAGCCTGTTCCAGGGCTCTGGCACCCTCACAGGAAAGAAGTTCTTCCTCACATGGAAATGGAACTTCCTGTGTTTTAATTTATACCCATTACCCCCTTGTTCATGCCTTCTTATTTCACCATCTCTTAAAAATAGGCATTTAGGAACTCCCTCACAAAGCCAGGTTGAAGGAATCACCTAGGGCTTAACTATCAGTATAATAACTGTAGCAATGAATTGCTAGAGCAAATTTGTGTCTGAAAATGTGCAAAAATATTGCAGAGCATGGAGAGAGTAATCTGACAGCAGGAAAGAAATGGTTGATGTTACATGAAGAAAAGATTAAAGAGGTACTGAAGAATGCAATTCACAGAACCCAGCGAAGTGTAAGGCAGACATTGAATGGTGCATGAATGGTCACCACATGGAGGTTGCTGCACCCACAAATTCTACTCCAGGCTTTCACACCTTCTCACCTAACTTGAACCCTAGGGAAAGTTGATCTTGTCAAACTTCATAACTCAAGATCACTCAGTAAAAAAAGCCAGTATGATGCTGCCTGCATCACATCCAGATTCTGTCACAGCAAGAATCCAGCTGAGGCTCTAAATACCATCCAGCATTAAGGGATCTTACACCTTGCCACAGAATCAAAGAATCACCGTCAGAGAATGTTTTAAGCTGGAAGTATCTTTGGAAATCGTTTAGTCCATTCCCCCTGCACAAGAAGGGTCACCTAGAGTATGTTGCAAAGAATCATGTCCAGGTGGGTTTTGAATATCTGCAGAGAAGGAGAATTGGGCATAATGTTCTTTGTAGTAGAAAGAATATTTTCAACAGGCACCTGTAATATAAAAAAGACAATAAGCCAATAAAATAATAAATATATAACAAATAAATTTATACACAAATAATATATACTATTATATCACCTATATATCACTAACTATATAAATATATAATATAGATAGACCGAGAGATAGACATAATAAAAATAAACATTTAAAACTAAATACTCCTTGAGTAGCCGAACTAATGAGATCTGGTTTCTTGTGGATTTATGTGCTTTGACCTTTAATCCTCTCCTTCCACCTTTTCCATGAGACACACACTGGGCAAGGTTGCACTTGCTCATGTTCTAACTCACCAGCATGGTATGAACATGGCATTTGGCTGGCTGGCTGCTGCGGAATGTTGTCTGAGTTTTGTATGCCTGCCTTTACCTCAGAAAATACATTATTTTTACTTTCTCCTCTATTCAAATATTCCATGTTTTACGAAATTTGTAGGAGCATAATTATTTCCAAGCCGCTAACCCTCTATGAAATACGGTTCACATTTGCTGTCAGGTCCAAAAATTACTTTGGAGAGAGGGAAGAGGACAGGGATCAAAAGATAGATGGTGTGATGCAAATCTTTTTTTCCTTAAGAAAATCAAATTAAATTTTATAATGTCAAACTGCAACACTATGTTTAAAGCCTATGGAAAGCTACAAAGTTGACGCCTGAAAATAAAAGTAATGGAAAAAAATTGGTTGCCTTATTGAATTGCAAGGAGTCACAGTCCATAATATGATTTGAGAAACACATGCAATCCTAGAATGTAGTAGCTGAGGAACTTCCAAAAGAGATGAAGAATATTAGTGCTATCATAAAGAGCACTGATGAAATCTCATTAGAAATACTGTCACATCTGTCTGAGAAAATCAAGGTCAGACAGGCAAACAAGGGATGATAGGATGATAAGAGAGATGAAGAACACCTAAGACAGTACTTAACTTGTTTAGCCTGGGGAAGATATTCTAACTCAGAAATGAGGTATAAAGGTTAAGAAATAAAAATAATTGAGTATAATGTAAAGGACCAGTGCTAGTGTAAGAAAAACCAGCCACAAACTATTCATTCAAACCTGTGTCCCCAGGGCCCCTCCGCTCCCTGGGCACCCTCAGCGGGGCTCAGCAGCGCCCAAGCCCCCAAAGACCAGGCAGCCGCTGCAGGGACCTGGCCGCAGCCCCCGCCTCCCCCTCCAGCCCCTGCT